AACTCCTGGGCAAGCAGGAGAGTGGCCGTGTGCCCAGAACTAGTTGTGTTTGTGGAAGAGCTAGGGAAACAGGGTCTACAGATTTCACATCTGAGAATGACCCAAGACATATTATGGGCTTTTTTTCTCTGCTACTTCTGACCTGTCTAGGTTGTTCTCTGAGTGCTGCCCAGTGCTGCCCTTTCCGTGCCTGCTCTAGTTTCTGCAGAGGCCCTGAATTAATCCATCTGTGCTTCCTCCTCTTGTTTTCCTGCTCCACCCACAGTATTTTGAAAAAACAAAGCAAAACCAAACACGTGGGTACCACAGGAATGTAAGTCCTAGCGAGCCTTGCACATTCTTTACAAAATACTATCCTTGATATTCAAGTGGCCTTGCCTTGTATGGTATTAAGCAACTATGACTACTCCTGACGTTCCCAATACTGAGGAAAAAATTGTTACCCTACTCATACTGTCCCCAGTGAGATACTGGTATACAGAGTATGGCTGGATTCCACGGTGCTGATCTTTCTCCACCACACTGTCTTACACTACAGCTTCCCTTTGTCACTTGAAAAATTATTTCTGAAGTAGTCGTCGTACAAAGTTTTGCAAAATATCAGAATTGCTATTATATCAGAGCATGTTCTCTTCTAAATTAGTAACACAGAATCATTGAAATGTTGGGCTAAAAGGGGCTTTAAAGTGATCTTTTTGTCCACTTGCTGTATGCCAGTATGCTGTGCATATTAGATATACCTGTATCCAAAGTCATGCCTGATCATTCTCTGATCCGTTTGTTAAAACATCTAGTGAGGGAGAGGTACGTGTATGTTTCTTTAAGAAAATTTTCCTTGTCATCCAACTGAAATACTTATTTCTGCTCATCCTCTAGAGGACACTGGAAACAATTATTACCATCCTTTACAATAACCAAAGATAAAGACAGTTAAAATGATTCTTGGCAGTCTCAGTTTTCTGGACTAAACAAACACAGTTATTTCAACCCTTCCTGATATGCTGTATTTTCTTCCTCATGCAATTTTTATTTCTGTTTTCTAGACTCCTCAGGACCTCACCTGAGATGTTGTTTGTGCTGGATAAAACAGAATAGAACTGAGTAATTACATCTCAGGATACTGCTACTCCATCTGAAAACAGGATTTCTGTTTTTCTGCAGCACCATTGCATTGCTGGCTGGTATTACACTTCCTAATTTTATTTTTCTTACTGGTATAGAACCAATACAGAAATCTTCCCAGACAGAGAGGATTTCTGGCAGCAGTTAAGAGCATGGGCACGTCGTTCTCTCCCATGCACTCTCGGGCTGTTAACAGCCTCACAGCTTGGATCTTGCGTATATTCAGTTAAGCACAGTGGCTTTTACCTTGCACTGTGACCTCTGTGTGAAGTGCAAGGAGTTGGGCAGACGGGCGACTGGTTGATCCGGGTTGATGGCAGAGGAGAAGGAGAGATGCTGGGGTTGTGCCCTGGAGTTAGAGGTGTGCCCCACCTCCGTCAATCTGATTACATTTACAGTTCCCGCTTGCAGCCTGATGGGACCCGAGTGTCTTGTACCATGTAGGTACAACTTATCTAAGTTGTAGACCCACAGTAGGTCTGCTGACAGTAGTGAGCTGCTGTCATCTGCCCCCTCTCTTCCCAGGCATGAACGGTTCCTTGCCAAAATTGCCAGGCTCTGCAATCAGGTGGGCTACACAGTCAAAATGTAGGGGCAGGTGGCATCTGGCAACATTTTACACCAAAAATAAGACGGCAAAGTGCAATGGGCTGTAAGTAACAGGAGAGGCCGTATTTTATACAAAAACGGGAGATGCAGGGAACAAAAGACGACTTAGATTTGAGACTTGGAGAATGAGAGAGAAGCAGGAAAGCTTTTGAACTGCGAATAACAAAGGCTATTGAGACCAGCGGGCAATAATCGCCACTTCGGGTCAGTCTTGCTGCGATGGGTGGTCTTCTCAGGGCTGGCGAGTGCCTTCTGTTGGTACGTTGTCTGCAGTCCCTCACGAGGCTGGAATGCTTTTGTCCTGCCCGTACGCCCTCCAGCCTGGCCGGCCAAAAATACGTGCGAAATAACAGAAAACAAAGCCCAGCAAACAGCAGCAATACCCAGTGCCACAAGCACTGAGGATACAGAGAACCCCGCGGGGGGTAGCAGCAACGCCGGGCGTGCCGTCGTCTCCTGCCTCGGTGGGTGTTGCAGAGCCGGTTCCGTGGCCTCTGTCGCGATAGGAGCGGGAGACGCAGAGCATCGTGCCCCCGCAGGGGTGCGGAACTTGGTGGGTGTTGACGCTCGGCGGAGCCCCTGCGGATCGGTCGCTGGCAGTACTGGCGGTCCCGCGCGCTCGGTCTCCGTGAGTCGCGGAAAATAAAACGGCGAATAAAAGAGACGAGCTGAGGCTGGGTGCGCTCGTGCAGGCTCCGGAGGCCGAGGTTC